TTCAAAGTTATCCAGAAAGCTTTCAACTCTGCGCCATGTGTTCCACTTTGTGGAGGCGACTTGGGGTCAGAAGGCCACACTGGAACGTTGCTGGCCTTCTTTGATTCGGCTCCTCATATTTTTGCGGTGCAACGTCGAGCCAGGCAAGATTACTGGCTGCGATGGCAGTGTGATCAGGAACCACAGCAATGTCCGGAAGGCCAACAGCAAGCTCAACTGGCACCAGCTAGCTGAACGAGAGCGCGCTTACTTGAACTCCTTGGCTCACTTTCCAGGCAAAGTTGCGTAAGTGCATGTCTGGGGTGAGGACAAAGGCACATGAAAAGTTTTCAGCTGGTGCTAGCATGAAAGGGTGAACCCTCTTCAGATTGTTTGTGGGTCGTCCCTCAAAAGCACAGTAGTTCCTATGTCTGAAGATTCCGTTCCCTGGCTCTGCAGGACTTTACTGGCAGCATGAAACGCAAAGGTCCCCTGCAATTCCGGCATGTTGGCCCTGCTTTGCCTGGCAGGCTATCGGACATCAAGGCTTTCTGCGTGGCACCTGCTCAGGAAGGAAGCCGAAGCACACGGAAGGCGGTCAACGCTGCCTGAGCCTCCCAGCTGGCGTCAGGCATGGTTGTAGTGGTGGTGCCTCCTGGGCGCCCGCAGAAACTTGCGTGGCGATGTGGGGTGGTGCTGAGTGTGTGGAAGAAAGTCTTTGCCCGCAACCAAGGGGTCAGAGCTCAGCTGACTCACACTCCTGTGGGCATGGATTCACAGCTTTCGCGTTGCGCTGCTGGAGTCGGGTTCGCAGGAGACCACTTGGCAATGCAGCGGGGACTCTGAAGCAGTGATGTGCCCGGCAAACAGCTTGGCCCTGACATTGAAGTCCAAGCGCCTATACCTTCAACTACCAGTACATTTGTGTGTGCCCTGACAGCCGAAAATTCTGCTTTGCGCGACTCCCTACAGGCCTTCTGCGTTGAGGAATTGGCCGCCGTTGAAGGCGTAGCAGAAGGAGCGGGGCAAAAGCTCCTAGCCGCCGCCAAAGCCAAGCTCGCAAAAGATGCTAAGAAATGCAAGGGCAACATGCAGAGCCTCAAGGATACGAAGGATGTGGAGGAAGACTTGCCCAGCTTTCGGCGAACAAAGCAAGGCCAGGAGGCCATAATTGAAGAGCTGCGCTTGCTACGCCTGGACATGCCGCTGGGCAAGCATGGCAGTCGCGTGCTCGCATCCAGCCACCACCTTCTAGGCTCATCCTGCGAATACCCTACAATGAAATACAACCATTACTAACTCATCCATCATAACCATCTCGACTGCACCTGTCGCAGTCATTATGTGTGTGTGTGTGTGTGTGCGTGTTTCTGTTTGTGTGGTTGGGCGGGCGTATGTGCCTCTCTGTGTGTTCGTTTGTGTGCTTGTTTTTTCGCCTGCTTGTTTGCCTGTTTGTTGCTTGTTCGTCTACTTGTTTGTGTTGCTTGCTTCTTTGTTTGGAGGCATGGAAGCATGGATGTGCGTGCGTGTGCGCGGTCGTAAGTTAATTTGCGCGCGTGCGCGCGGGGCTGCCTAACCACCTGCGAACGCGAAAAAGGCGTAAGTGTAGGTGTGTGCGTGTGCGCTGGTCTGTGTGTGTGTGCTGGTGTGTGTGTGTGTGTGCTGGTGGTGTGTGCTGGTGTGTGCTGGTGTGTGTGTGTGCGCGTCTCAGTGTCAGGGTCGGGCCTGCGTGCGCGCGTGCGTGAAGTGTGCGTGCGGTTGCGTGCGCGGGCATATGTTGTTGAATCTATTGGTGGCATACATGTATGAGTGAGTGTGTTGGCGCGTGCGTGCGTATGCTCCGACAGGTCCTTGTATTGAGCTATGAAGATTACGAAGGGGAAGACCTCTTGGTCTTTGCATTGACCTTCGCGAAAGTTCCGCGAAGGGGGTCGCGAAAGACATTTTCCCGCGAAAGTTTTGAGTGGCTTGCTAACAGGAAGCTGGAGCGATGAACCATGGTTATTTACCGCCAGTGCGCGCAGAATGCCCGCAAACTAAAGTTGGTCGGAGAATGCGCAGCCTCAGGGTCGCCGCAAGAATATGCCGCTGCAAAAGCAACCCCCCAGCCAGCAGAAACCAGCTTCTGGGAGTTTTGAGGCTGTCGGGGCAAGTTGAGCGCAACTTCCAGCCGGATTTTCGCGAATGTTTGGCGTAAGATCCACGAAACTTTCGCGAAAGTCGACGGACCTCCCCGCCAGTTTCCGGACATGAGGCCAACGGGTCCTCTGGAGCTGCGGAGGCGCGCTTCGCGTGCTATTTTTGAACTGAAAGCTTGCGACTTTCGAGCTGGGGCTGCGGAAGTTCGCTTTGTGTACTACTTTCGTAGTGAAAAGTTTTGACTTTCGAGGCTGAGGAAGTTTAGTTCGTGTACCACTTTCGTATTCAAGCCGGGCAGCGGAAATTTACTTTTAGTACTACTTTCGCTCTGAAGATCTGCGACTTTCGAGCTAAGGCTGCGAAAGTATACTTCGTTTACTACTTTTGTGATGAATGTTCTGAAAACAGCATAAACAGCCCCGCGAAAGTTCCGCGGTGGGGTCCGCGAGAGTCAATTTTTTTCTCGCGAAGATGGCGTTTTCCGGAACAAGGAATTTCAGACAACCGTCAAATATGCGCACGCGTGAGCTTGTGGGCGTGCAGGAATAGCGCAAGCGCGTGACTGCGCGTTGATGGGCGCGCGTTCGGGCGAAGCGGTGCGTGCGATTTCTCTCCGTTCCAATCCTGTCTTTTGGGGCTTGGTTGAATTCAGGGATCAATGAAGCGGAAACTCTTTTTTGTCCTGAGGAAGGTCTGCGGAAATCTTCCTGTGGTGGACGCGCAGGGCATGCTGCGAATGAAGAAGGACATTTGTGCGAACAGAAGCTTCAGTGAGGTTGCTGCGGCTGCCCCGGCATATTTTCAGGCTTCGCTGTTTTCGAAGAACGCAGCGGAGTACGGGAGATCCGTTTCCACGCAGCTCAAAGCTGTACGCCACGGCTTGGGCTCTTCGCCTGCCAATCGGAAGGGCTTTTTCAGGTTGATTGTGGGAATATGCGAATCGATGAGAAAGCACCGGCCTCCTCCTTCATGAATTTTCTAGTGCGGCCAATCGATGTGACTTGTTGGATGACAGTGTGCAAAGTCATGGAGCGTGAGGCTGTTGCTGGGGTTGTTTCCGCACAGGGTGGCCTAAGACCTACCTGTGTGCAGCAGAGCGAGCACGGGGGCCGGAGAAAAAAAACACGGCGCCCTTTCGAATGAGTTGTTTACCACATGTTTGCATCAAAGGAGTGAGCCTTCTGTGGGGCATGAATTGTGAGGGGATGATGCTTACAGCAGTTTGCAGGCCTTGTGAAACTTACGCGCCATACTCACAAATAGACTCGAGCGTCGCTCTTATCCGTTAATCTTCTGCAAGTGGGAGCCAATGGGAGGATTGGGGTCCGTGCCCTCAGATTGCTGGATCCAGTAAATGTTCAAGTTTGGTATAGCCGCCCAAGTGGCCCCCTGAAGAGAGATGGTAAGGATGGCAAGGATGGTAAGGTAGGTTAGGCGGCTTCCGCATCTGGGCTGACTCTCATCAATCTCAATCAGCGAGGGTGGAACTGGACTCCAACTGGGACTGCCTCCTGGAAGTTCCGTGACTGCATTTCCCAAACGCCACCCCGGTTGCATTCTTCGCCAGGACCGCTAGAACCGTGTGGCCGCAGAGCAAGCACCTCACGCCAACCCCCACGCCGCCGCAAAATAAAGGCGCCTGCAGCGCTTCCCCTGCCTAGCCAGGGCCTGCCTAGCCATTCTTCAAGTACTCCTCTACATTCACGCCGTCCCCCTCCCAGGCCTGGCTGAACTTGGCGAGGACCGACTTCGGGAGGAGGATCCCCGCCGTATCGCCATCGAAGAGCTTCGTGGGGAAGTGGTCCGGCTCTACCAGGCGGTAGAGGCCCTTCTTCGCGTCATGGGCTTGCATCACGCATCCTGGAGGTCCTCCTCCGTCAATGTGGGAATCTGGGCAGGCATCTTCAGCGTCTTCTTCTTCGCGACGAGGCCCATCGGCACCGCGTCCGGATCCGCCCGCACCATCACATCCGCCCCATCCCAGTTGCGGATTAGCACTCGCTTCCTATACTTGAATTACCCAACACTGAACCAACGCTCAGCCATACCAACCTCCCGACTTCTTGCGCCAACCTGCTTGCCCGTCTTGTTAGGGGTTCCTTATTTCATCCAGCCTGTGACTTGCTTCCATTTAAAGCCAGGGTAAAAGCACCAAATTGTAAACTTGGGTCCGGAAACGTGGCAGCACCAAGCCTCGTGCCAAGGCTCGAAAAAAGCTGGGTGCCCCTAAGAAGAAACATGTTTGTCACCAGAAGAAGTTGGGTCATCATTAGAGGGAAGGGGTGTCGCCAGCTGAACAACCAACTAGGATGAATTTGATCTCTGCAGATCCTCCTGGCAACTGCAAGCAAGGTTCTGGAACGCGAAATCCGCGTAAAACCAAGGCAACGACACCGAAGCCCAGCCCCTGCCAAAACTGCAAAGCTACAAATACATTCAAGACTTTAAGCCGTCTGTTGTTTTCACCATTGGAGAGCAAGGTTGACCCGACAAACACAAGTCGGGGTGCTCAAAATGCGCCGCCGCCGCGCGTGCCCGCTGGCCCGCCTATGGCAGGATCTGCGCTCTTGTCTCTCCATCCGGCAGGTGAGCATGGCAACAAGTAGCCTAGGCGTGCGTTTGCGCTGATGTGGCTGCTCTGCTTACCAGATGTCGTCGCTGCCTGGCTCGAGTGCGTGATTTGTGTGTGTGTGTGTTTGCGCGGGTGCACAGACCCACCCTTTCTCGCCACATCGTGCTACGCCCTCTACAATCTCCAAACGTGCAAAGCTGCTGGCTGCCCCCTGCGTTGGTTCCAGGTGTTGCTTGACGCTGCTCCAAATTGAGGCGTTGCTTTGAAATGCAGTTCCCTTCGGCGCTGCTGACTATTGCCGGCAAGGCGCTTGAGACTCCTCGCCCGTCAGCGGCAAGAAGGCGCTGGATCTAGCAGTATCAGAGTAGACCACGTCCCTGCCTGCCGTCAAAGAACACGGAATCTTACTCCCACCACCTCCAACCAAGACGGATGTCTGAACCACAGCACAGGGCAAAACCTGAATCCCCGCCCCCAATCAGAAAGCCAGCAAAATGCCGAAAACGTGAAGGCAGTTCTTACTGCAGTGGCCTCATGGAAATCGGATTGAGGCCACGCTGGAGATAAGTTCGATCCATAGCGACGACCAGCCGCCGGCCCTCGGCTGCCTCATGTCTCGGGAGCAGGCCGTCGAGCAACTCCCAGTTCATGCGGAGGCAGACTTCATCGTCCAAAGCAAGGCATGGATGAGGAAGGCCAAGCGAGTGTGCTGAAGCCAAGCTTGCCGGCCTGGCTGTGTGAGCCACCCCGAAGTGTCTCAGGGCGGAGTTCACGCCCATGCAAGCCAAAGCGCTACCAGCTTCACAAACTAGGCCAAGCTCTTCATCGGTCATGTTGGCCTTGCGCATCGTCGTCTTTCCTGCGTCTTCCCTGCAGCATCGCTCCACGGCAGCCACAATCATCCCCTGGATGACCGGATGTCGGTCTAGTTGTCCGGAGGCGATTTTGGCTACCAGCCGGAGTTTGCTTTCAGGAACTGTGCCAAATTGTCCAGCGCACAACGCTGCCGTGAACTGAAGCGCAAGGTCCTGCAGGATAAACAGCATGGCACAGGGAACGCGGGTGCACTCAAGAACAAGGAGCAACTTGAGTTACCCAGCTGTCAGTGGGCAAAAGCCAGCGCAGTCCTTCGAGGCCTCGGCCCCGCAAGTCTCAATTTTGAGGGAAGGTTGCACGGTGGTGGCAATGAAGAGCTGCATCGCAGGAGAAACAGTGCTGACAGGCATGGAAAGGAATGCAGCGCGCACATATTTCTGTAAGGGGGCAATCTTCAGGCCTGCAATGACTGTGAAGTCCTGCGGCTGAGCGCGAACAAGCCTACAAGGCCCAACATCAGAATTGTCTGGACCACAACATCTCCACGTTGATGGCTAACTCGTGTTGCAACCCGTGCGAACGACATCTATGAACACAGCATTGTCCATACACCGTGGCGCGCAAATAACTGGAACCCAGCGCCTTCTTGCCGGCGAGCTTGTACGCGTCAATGAATGGCATGCCCTCCAAGAGGGCAGCGACCTCCTCCTCAGTTCTGAAGAGCCGAGCCCGGAGCAGCTGCGCAGCGAATAGCTTCGTCCGCATTCGGCAAACGTTGCGGACAATCGCCTTGTCTGACGCCACCGAAAAGCAGGCAGCGCAAGTTCGTGTGGGCGCCGGAGCCGATTTTGCGCAGTCCTTGCGCCGAATTTCCCACCTCTGCTCGCTGATGTGCGCAGAGTACTGGTGGCGAAAGTTGCTGGGGCTGGCATAGGACACATATAGTCGAAAACTGTCCAGGAGCTCAGACAGCTTTCCGCCATCGCTCGGAAGTTGAAAGCCCTGGCAAGGCCCATCTGGCGCTGCTGGCGCCAGATCACCGCTGCTATTGTTGCTGGCGCGTTCTTCTTCCCCGAGTTGTCGTAGGCCTCGCTGGTGCGTATCGCAAGCAATGTGTTGCCGAAAGTGCCAATCGCTCTTGCGAGAAATCAAGTCGAAGATGAGCGGCCGCTTTGACTTCTTCTTGCACACATCGCACCTGCCAGAATGAGATAGGAAATGTCTTATATATATATAATTAAATATATGTATGTGTTGACAAAGGCGGTTCTGCACAAACACTTGTTTTCATATTTTTGGTCCAAACGGGCTTAATACCCCGGACAAGCCCCCGGACAACCCTCCGGACAGCTTCGAGGGCCCAACATCCCGGGACAAACCCTCGGACAAACCCCCGCACAAAATCTCCGGACAGCTTTGAGGGCCCAAAAACCCGGGACAATCCCCCGGACAAGTCTTCGGACAGGTTTGGAACACACCAAAACCGCTCGGAGCCACTCGGAAACCACTCGGAAACTGCTCGAAACCACTCGGAAACCGCTCGGAAACCACTGGGGGGGTTTGCAGCATAGATCTCGGCAAAGTGCGCGGACAATGCGGACAACCCTCCGGACAACCCTCCGCAACCCCGGACTTTGTCCGGCACTTTGTCCCGCGCTCTGCCCCGCATATTGAGGGGGGTGTTTATGCAGAAGGGCATTCGTCAATATATGTATAGATATACATATATATATATATACATATATATATATATATACATAATATACATATACATCTATATATATATATACATATACGTCTATATATATATACATAATATATATATATATATATATATATACAGATATGCATACATATGTATGCACAAACACCTATATATTTGCTAAAACCTTCTGATCCTCCGGCCGCCTGGTGCTTAGCATCCTGAAACTCACAAGACGCTCGTGTAAAAAACATGCAATTGCTTGGCAACTCAACACCGTTGTTGGCCCCGCCCTGGGTGGTGCAATATGCAAGTGCCACGCATCGCCTCACAACATGCCCCGCAGCAAGTCACAAGCCTGACAGGCCACTTCTTGCCGTGAAAGTTTGTTGGCAGCAATGTCATGCCCGGCGTCTTTGCACAGAGCTTAGGCCCTCAGACCCCCCCTTTGCCTCCTCATCTGGCCTTCCAGAGGCCGCAATTGTGCTACTACAAGTTGCCGAAGGCTCTGCCCACGCTGCCCACAAGAGCTGGCACGCCGGGCACGCTGGTGCCTCCTGCCTTTGCAGGAGCAGCTTGAGCTGCTTGAAGCCGCCAGTCTGACACTGCAGGTGCCTCAGTTGCAGTTGGGTCTGTGCGTGCGCGCACGCGCCGCTTGCCTCGCAATTCAATATGTTAACATGAATACACAAGCGCGTTGCAAAGTATGCAAAGTGATACACAGGTCTCTTTCTCTCTCACTCTCTCCCCCTCCCTGCCGCCCCATTCTACACCCAAACGTGTCAAGAAGCAAGGCTAGCACGAAGCACGACAAAAAACAAACAGCGCATAGGCAACTTGCGAAGCCTGCGTTGTTTTGCCTCCATACACCGCCGGTAGCACTTCGAACCAAACATGAGCGCACTCAAAGCCGCGCTTGGCAGCTCATGTGGGTATCAGTTCTCGCGTTTTAGCGAATCCTGTCATTTCTAGAGTGTTTGCGAATTTTGTTGTTCAAGCCAAACATGTGCGCACTCACAGCCGCGCTTGGTAGCTCGTCATGCAGCTCCAGCTCCAAAATCGCTCTTTTTAGCGCCAGAGTAGTTCGCGAAGAACGCTGTGGCAGCTCCAGCTCAACAGTCGCAACTTTTCAGTATATGTGTAGGACGCACAGGTCACTCTTGTCAGCTCCAGCTAGAAAATCACAACTTTTGAGTACAAGAAGTACATATTTGGCAACTCCAGATCGAACATCGCAACTCTCAGCAGGAAAACTCCAACACTTTGGCATCTCCAGCTGGAAAATCAAAGTTGTTTAGTACTAGTATGCACAATGCACTTTGGCAGCCAGATAGAAATTCGCAACTTTTTAGCCCAAGTGTGATATACCAAGCAAGGCCCAATGCGAAGCCTGGGAAAAAATCAGCGGTCTCGATCATGGGGCTTTGAATTTCCCGGGTACCAAGTGGGCACCCGCCCGCGTGAAGTGAAGACATGTAAAAAATGCAGTTGTTAGGTTATCGTTCTGGTTCCTGTTCAGAGCCACCTACCTTTTCCAAAAGAACGGGCCAACTCGTGATTACATTTGCGTGTCAAACCATCTAACTGCATTGAATTAGTGAGCGCTACTATCCCAGGGGTTCATGTGCGGTGAGTGAGCCCTTGGTAAAATTGAGTTATCTTTTGTGTGAGCTCTATCGTTCCTGAACATTCTTGCTGCGCGTGCTGGTGTGTCATGTCCCTCCCTTTACCTGTTCATCTTCCGGAGGTCTTGCTGGGCGCTCGCGTGGGGAATGCCAAATCTCCGCCTCAATTAGCAAGCCAAGCAAACCCACGTGCCAGTATGACCGTCCAAGGTGCTTCAATCTCTTGGTGTGGGCTTTGCTGCGCAGCCCACGCTGCGCATCTTTGCTGCCAAGGACATCCTAGAAGACTCCGTCTTGTCAGGCGATGGAGTTGTCGTTGGTGCTGCTCGTCGCGGTAGCTGGAGCCGAGCACTTCTGAGGTGTGACCACCACAGCTTGGAATTGCTGCCGCATGTCTCTCATAGTTCTGATGGGGCGAGCGCCCCGTTCGCTGACAAGGCCGGCTGATGCAAAAGCATCAAGCACTTTCGTGCAAGGTGAGAAGCTCAGGAAGGCTCTTGAGGTCAAGGCCTGCAGCAAGATCCACAGCTCCATTCTGAACCGAGCTGCCAACTGCTTGATCATCTTGATCTGGGCTCTGCGCGAAACCCGGAAAACATGCGGTCAGCTGCTGAAAAGAGAGAAGCACGCCTTGCGTAGCACTGGCAACCCTGCGCCAAGCAGCGCCCAGCTCTTGCCTCCACTGCTGCACGCCAAGCGGAGGGCAGAGATTGAGGCGCTCCTCAAGCGCCGCCAAAGACCACAAGGCACACGACCCATCTCCAGGAACTTCTGTGACGACAAGTGACGCGTCCAACTTCAGCTCCTTCATGAACTGCAGCTTGCGCTCGAGCCTCTGCACTGTCTCACTGGCCGCGTCCGGGCGGTCACTTTTTCCTTGGGCTGCTTGGAGCTCCTTCTCGGCTTGCTGGACTTGAGCCTGGCTGAGCTTCTCCAAATCTGCGGCATCTGTGGCCCAAGTGGTTAAGCCGCTTCAAGTCGTCAGTTGGCTCGTGCTGAATATTGTGGAGAATCAGCGTCCACGTGGGCGCAGCCCTGGGCACTCCAGACTGGAAAGCGGGCAAAATGACCTGCAACCACTCAGCCACGTCTTTCACCACCAATGGAGTCTGGCAACCCTATGTCACCAGTTGGATCCGCCGTCCACGAAGCTCAGCTAGCAGGGCCAAGTCGAGAACATCGATCCAGGCAGCCCCACGCTCGACTTCAGCTGCGTGAGCTCGGACCGCAGCCTTGCCCGGACGACATTTTGGCAAATTGCTTCACGAGAGAATCTCTAGCACTCTTGCCAAATGTCTGCCCCAAAAGCCTCAAACTAATTCGTGACCCTTTCTGGCCACATTTCTACACAAATGAAACGCTTGCGCGCCACAATGAAAGCAAAATTGTCAGGCGAACCGCAAGGCCTCCAAGATCTCTAAGCATAGTAAGCATGGATGCACAAATTGCGAGGTACGTTGGTCCGCCAGGACTTGAGCAGACATGAAACCCTTGCCCACACACGTGGCTGTGGCTCAAAATAGCTGGCCTAAAAGTGGACGTCACACAGATTCGGACCCTCCCCTACCAACAAAACAAGGTGCTTGCAGAACTGAACTTGCAGCCCCCGCCCCACCCGTCCCCGTCCTCCCACCGATTGGCTCTACTTGTTCCATGGCCCGACTACCCAGTCTTTAGACTCCTGACTCATTGCTTTCTCAGCACACTTGAAACGCCTTGTCTGCCGAGCTTGCCCTTTAGCACTTTAAAGCCTTGTTGCGATGCAAAGGCAGCAGTAAAGAACTCCCGCCATTTCTACACAATTGCTACAAAGACAATAGCCAAACATGGAGATGCGCAGCGTCCTGCTTTTGTAGAGGAGAAAGACAACCGCCCCCCACTCAAGACAGGCAGCGTTGCAAACAATGCAAACGGGGCTGAACACGTCAACACTTCACCATGTGCTGCCAGCCTCCACCATGAAAACCGCAATCAATTTGCTGGGAAAGGCGGGGCACCGTTGCCACGCAAAACGCAATCTTCACAGCAACGAAATACCTGGCCGCGCCATCCTCCTGCGGAAGAGCAGCCCGGATGACCCGACAGCCCTTCCCCTGGCATCGAGCACTCTGCTCACAGGGCTGAACACGTCAACACTTCACCATGCGCCTGGTTTTTTGGCCTGGCAGCTGCTGCCACCCTCCACCGTGAAAACCGCAATCAATTTGATGGGAAAGGCGGGGCACCGTTGCCACGCAACACGAAAGATGGGTCTTGCTAGTTTCCTGGAAGCTTCCTTCGGACGCTAACCTGGTGGAGGCCCGCTCTGGCCGCGCGCCTGCGCGCCATCCTCCGGCGTAAGAGGAGGCCGGATGACACGAGAGCCCTCCCCAGCATCCTGGCATCGGGCAATCTGCTCGCGTCAACACTTCACCATGCGTTGCATCTGACCTGGTGTGGCCTGGCAGCTGCTGCCACTCTCCACCGTGAAAACCGCAATCGTAATAGGTGTCGCTAGTTTCCTGGAAGCTCCCTTCGGACGCTGACCTGGCGGAGACCCGCTCTGGCCGCACGCCTGCGCGCCATCCTCCGGCGGAAGAGCAGCCCAGATGACCCGAGAGCTCTCCCCCTGGCATCGAGCACGGGGCTGAACACGTCAACATAACACCATGCGTTGCATCTTACCTGGTTTGGCCTGGCAGCTGCTGCCACTCTCCACCGTGAAAACCGCAATCAGCTGGGAGAGGCGGGGCACCGTTGCCACGCGAAATGCAATCTTCACAGCAACGAAATATGGGTCTCGATAGTTTCCTGGAAACTTCCTTCGGACGCTGACCTGGTGGAGACCCGCTGCGCGCCATCCTCCGGCGGAAGAGCAGCCCGGATGACCCGAGAGCTCTCCCCCTGGCATCGAGCAATTTGCTCACGGGGCTGAACACGTCAACATTTTACCACGCGTTGCATCTTACCTGGTTTGGCCTGGCAGCTGCTGCCACTCTCCACCGTGAAAACCGCAATCAATTTGCTGGGAAAGGCGGGGCACCGTTGCCACGCAACATGCAATCTTCACAGCAACGACACATGGGTCGGACGCAGACCTGGTGGAGACCCACTCTGGACGCGCGTCTGCGCGTCCGGCGGAAGAGCAGCCCGGATGACCCGAGAGCCCTCCCCTGGCATCGAGCAATTTGCTCACGGGGCTGAACGCGTCAACATTTTACCATGCGTAGCATCTTACCTGGTTTGGCCTGGCAGCTGCCACCCTCCACCGTGAAAACCGCAATCAATTTGTTGGGAAAGGCGGGGCGCACCGCTGCTGCGCAAAATGCAATCTTCACAGCAACGAAATATGGGTCGGACGCCATCCTCCGGCGGAAGAGCAGCCCGGATGACCCGAGAGCCCTCCCCCTGGCATCGAGCAATTTGCTCACGGGGCTGAACACGTCAACATTTTACCATGCGTTGCATCTTACCTGGTTTGGCCTGGCAGCTGCTGCCACCCTCCACTGAAACCGCAATCAATTTGCTGGGAAAGGCGGGGACCGTTGCTACGCAAAATGCAATCTTTGCAGCAACGAATATGGGTCTCGATAGTTTCCTGGAAGCTTCCTTCGGACGCTGAGCTGGCGGAGACCCGCTCTGGCCGCGCGCCTGCGTGCCATCCTCCGGCGGAAGAGCAGCCCGGCTGACCCGACAGCCCTCCCTCTGGGATCGAGCACATGCGTTGCATCTTACCTGGACCGTGAAAACCGCTATCAATTTGCTGGAAAGGCGGGGCGCCGTGGCCACACAAAATGCAATCTTCAAAGCGACGAAATATGGGTCTTGCTAGACCCGCTCTGGCCGCGCGCCTGCGCCCAATCCTCCGGCGGAAGAGGATTCCGCATGACCCAAGAGCCCTCCCCAGGCTCTGTAGCACCCTGGCATTGAGCAATCTGCTCATTGGGCTGAGCAAACACTTCACCATGCGTTGCATCTTACCTGGTTTGGCCTGGCAGCTGCTGCCAGCCTCCACCGTGAAAACCGCAATCAATTTGCTGGGAAAGGCGGGGCACCGTCGAATATACGGGTCTGGCTAGTTTCCTGGAAGCTTCCTTCGGACGCTGCCCGTGCGCCTGTGCGCCATCCTCCGACGCAAGAGGATCCCACATGACCCGAGAGCCCTCCCAAGGCTCTGTTGCATCCTGGCTTTGAGCAATCTGCTCACGGGGCTGAACACGTCAACACTGCTGCCAGCCTCCACCGTGAAAACCAATCAATTTGGTGGGAAGGGCGGGGCACCGTTTGCCACGCAAAATGCAATCTTCACAGCAACGAAATATGGGTCTCGCTAGTTTCCTGGAAGCTCCCTTTGGACGCTGACCTGGCCGCGCGCCTGCGCGCCATCCTCCGGAACAGCCCGGATGACCCGAGAGGTCGCATCCTGGCACAGCGCACGGAAGAGAAAACAAGAAGAAGAAGAGCCCCAGAAATCCAAAGACGCCCCTCCTTGAAACGCGCGCAAGCAATACGTGCCTGAGCATCCGTGCGTCTCCGCTTCATAGGACGCGCTGCCTCAAAAACAGAAACTGCATAGCCACGTGCCACTGCTCAAGCGCTCGCGCGCCTGCCACTCATCCACTGCCTTGGGCGGACGCGTCGTCCACCGCCAAGCAGCCCCAGGCCCAGGCCTTAGGGAAGTACTGCAAAATCAACAAGTCAGCGCGGACTCTCAGAGCCAGACGTGTGTGCCTCATGCCAGGACAGGCGCACGTTGCCGTTAGTACGCTAGCGCCCGCCGTCAGCCGGTCGTAAGCCGACTGCCTCTCCAGCATGCGCATCGCGCTCGCTCGGCCAAGGCGCTTCTTCGCGCTCGGGCCGTACCTCACTGTGCGCCTCGGGCTCGGGCTGTGCCTCGGGCTCGGGCTGTACCTCGGGCTCTACCTGTACCTCGGGCTCTGTCTTGGGTGCTGCCTTGGGCTTGCGCCTTGGGCGCTGCCTTGCTGCCTTGGGCACGGGCGCTGCCTTGGGTGCTGCCTTGGCCATGGGTGCTGCCTTGGGCGCTGCCTTGGCTGCTGTCTTGGGCTTGGGCGGGGCGAGCGCGCTTGCCTTGGGCTTTGCCTTTGTGGGAAATCTCACCCTCTTGGGCCGGAAGGGGGCGTATGCCTCGAGCGCGACCTCGAACTTCGTCCTGATGGCCGCCATCATGGTTCCCGCGCAGGCCGGCGGAGGCGCGGGCCTCACGATCCACGCCGCCAGGTTCACGTAGTAGAGCGTCCTCGTCGTCAGCCGCAGCTTGCGGGTCCAAGCGGCCCGTGCGGGCGCAGTTCAGTCACAGCGGCCTTGGCGCTAGGCGCACGCGGCTCCTCCAGAGGCACCGCCCGGACAGAGCTGAGCACCGCCCGGACAGAGCTGAGCCCCAGGCGGCCCCAGATGCGTTCTGACAGCTCGGAGATCATGGCGCGAATTGGTTTGAGCTGAATAAATTGCTTTCTAAATATTCAGTCGGTCGGACGAGCACGTCTTTTTTCTGTCGGGGATTCTGTTCTGTCCGGGATTAGCATCCACCGCGTCACAGCGAGTCGGCGGTGCTGCCCTGCAGGTTCAGCGCCATGAGGAGCTCTCTGGAGCCGCATCCAGCTCCTTGCGCGCCTTCTTGACCCGCTCCAAGGCAGCGAAGGTTGTGC